TCCTTATAAGAAGAGGAAGAAACATCGGGAGTGTATGTACAGAGAGTAAAAGCCATGAGAGGACACAGCGAGAAGGTGCCTGTCTGCAAGCAGAGGAGACCTTACCAGAAACCAAACCTCCTGGTACCTTAACCTGGTACCTTGGACTTTTCCACCTCCAGAACGATGAGAAAATAAATTTCTATTTTTTAAGCCACACAGTTTGTGATACTCTGTTTCAGCAGCCCTAGCAGACTAATACAAGTTCCAGTTTTGGCTTCAGTATATAGTATTTGTGAGACCTCTAAGACCTAATTAGACCTCAGAATGCCCAGTTTTGGGGTGGTTGTAAGGATTAAGTGAGCAAATAAGTGGCTTTTAGTGATCTGGTAACTGTTTAATAAATCTTTGTTTTTTGTAAGCCTTAAAAGGGGCTAGAAGTTATTTTATCCTTTTTTTCTTATTTAATCAGATAATTCTAACCAAACATTTATATACCAAAGCTACAAAAAGAAATTCTTTCTGGGTAAATTCTTTCTGGGTTGGGATTTTTCTTTACAGTTTTATTCAGGTATAATTCATATTCCATAAAATTCACCTGTTGAAAGCTTACAATTCAGTGATTTTTAGTATATTCACAGATACTCACCTCAAAAATAAAACCCCCTATCCTTCAGCTATTCTCTTCCTAACCCTCATATCACTCCAACCGTGAGTACTAATGTACTTTCTGTCCCTATAGATTCTCTATTCTGGATTTTCATATGAATGGAATCATAGAATTTGTGGCTTTAGGGCTTACTGGCAGCCCCTATTATTTCTTTTACTATTTGTTCTGCTCCTCTCCCTCCCCTCCCCTCCCTTCCCCTCCCTCCCCTCTTCCCTCCCTTTGGCATTCCCATTATGTGTGTGTTGGTGTACTTATGATCTCCCACATTTCTCTAAGGGTTAGTTCATTTTTCTTTATACTTTTTCCTCCTTGTTCTTTGGCTTGCATAACCTCTGTTGCTCTATCTTCAAATTCACTAGGTCTTTTCTTCTGCCAGCTCATGTTTATGGTTGAGAGCCCTTTGGGTAAATTTATTTCAGTTGTTAGTTTTCAGCTCTGGAATTCCCACTTTCTTTATTTTAATATACATATAATTCCTATATTTTTATTGATATTCTCTATTTGATATGACATTGGCGTAACACCTCCCTTTACCTCTTTAATCATGGTATTAAAATTTTTTGTGAACATATTTGTGATGGCTATTTTGAATCTTTTTCTGTTAAATCCAACACCTGGTCATTTTCACTGGCAGTTTTGTTTTGCCTGTTTTCTGCTTTATGGGTCAGAAGGAAATCTGCTTTCCTGATTCTTTGCATTTTTCACAATTTTTGTTGGAAATTAAATACTTTAGATAATATTATAGCAACTTTGAGCGCTGGTTCTCCCTCAGGCTTTATTATTTATTTGTTTTTTAGTGCTTGCCTGGGTTATTTTAGTGAAGTCTACCCTACACCCCCATTGTGCCTATTGTTTTCACCAGTACCCTTGGGCATATATTGTTCTACCATCTAATCCAGTCAAATTATGGCTTCTTTGAAGGAATAATTTCTGAGGTCTGTATTTGATACTTGTTCTGACCCCTGGAGACATCACCCAGCTGTCTTATTTCCTGTAAACTAGGCAGGCTTTATTATAAGCTATATCTTCATTAAATCCATGAATCTCCTTCCAGTTGCCTGACATCACAACCTTCATTGTTCTTAAGAGCACACTTAGGTTTGAGCTTCTTAGTTCCTTTGGGAAGAGATCAGGAGCTATTTTATTTTTTACAGTGTGCCTTTCCGTTTACAGCCCCCTTAGCAAATATTTTGAGCCAGGGCTCTGGAGATGGGAGTGGGAACAGTGGCAAGCTTCTCTGTGACACCCCCACTCTAGAAACAGGTGTGAGGTGGGGGAGGGGGTGGCAGCAGCCTGAGGTAATTTAGGCTTGCCTCTCTTGACATAGACCCATTGCATCATGAGCCAGAGCAAAATGATCAGGGTGCTGTGCCCAAGGTGAAACCTCCCTTCCACAGATGGGGGCAGGGTCAAGGAAGGGATCTCCCATCCCTTGACTATACCTGCCTGGAATTCAGCCTCAGTACTAGGTAGCAGAAGGCCGAATGAGGAACACTGCTGCACTTGCTCTTGGGAAGTCTTAGGCACTGAGACTCCCTTCGCCTGGGAGCTGGGGGTGAGTCCGCCTGTCTTGGCTGCAGCAGTTTACAGTGAATCTCTTCCTTGCTGAGCTCGTTGGAGGGAGCGATCTTGGTGTAGGCACCGAATTCTTACCAAATCTTTGTAGAGTTTCTTGAATATAAGTTCCTTCCTTTGCTGTTTACCCTTAGGGACATTTCAGAAGCTTTATGTGTTTTCTTTCTGGCTTTGTTTTTATTTTAATAATTTCCACCAGTTTTATTGAAGGGGGTTCCGTGGAGCTCTCTCATTTCAGAAGTTGATCTTTCTGGGTTGGATTTCTAAGGCTTCTGGATGAGGAAGTACAAGTAGCTTGTTCAGGGAACTTGAATGAGAAAACAGTGACATTTTTAATATTGATATTATTGATAGGTTAACAGGAGAAAAGGTTCGTGAATTCTGAGGAAGGATAATGTGGTAGGATAGGGAAGTAAAAGGAAGGGGTAGCCTGCCTTATTGTTTAGATTTCTCTATGGTTTTGGGATACTTAAAGCCTTGGACTTAAAAGTTTTGAAAAGCAAAGTATCCTTAGAGAATGTGAATATGTGGATTTTATTTAGTAGCTTGGTGAACAAATAGCTTTATCTCAGTGTGTTATTATTAAATGGAATTCAGTTTTGTGATTTTAGTGTACTTTTGTGCATAAACACTTTTAGCAAACGCTGCTAGCGGCATTAATAAATCAAGTTAGACTTAATTCCAAAGAACCTTGAACTCACACACCTGTGGGAAATGTTTTTATTGAATTTTAAGTTTATATATAACAAGAAAAGTTGATTCATAGAGAAGCTATGATTTAGCTGGATTGTTATATTCAAAGTTGGCTGTATATAGTATAGTGATCTTTGTAATGTTTTATGAGTGACATTGATGTGTTCTATAGGAGCCATAAGACGTGTGTGTTACAAGCACTCAATTACAATAATGTAGTAATAATGGATTTAGTTCCCAATTTTTTTCCTTTTAAAAATTTGGTGCCAGTTTCAATCAAATTACTTCAAATGCAAATTCAGGAATTGAGAAGGACTTTCTGCCTTCCCCCTAATTCAGAGGCAGGATAAAAGCACTGAACATTTGTTTATATACCTACTTATCTTTCCCTAAAGTTTTTCCTTTGATCCTGTTGATTAGGAAACTGTAAAACAGTATTTCTCCCCGCTATCAATATCTTTCAGTATAAACTATAGTAAGCTATTAATATATTCTAAATGTTTATTTCATTTTTAGTGTTGGATTTTTATAAATCAGCTCAACACATACTTGAGTCCTGATTGTGTGCATGAGGGTTACAAACAGTGTAAGTCACATTTGAGATTTCAAGGCATAAATGCACAGCAATTTAAATGACTACAAAATAAAGAAGAGTGAAAGCAGTGTGTGCTCTGACCTAAAGCCGATTATAGAAAGCGTTTAGGATTTGGCTAGGCTTTGAGAAGTTGGGAAAACATTCAGTTAGTTCAAAAGGCCTGAAAGCAGGAATGTGCATATCTTCAGAGTACATGAGGTGACTACACTTTCTAGATAGGAAGGTTTCTTTTTTTTTCTTTTTAAGATTTTATTTATTTATTTGAGAGAGAGATCACAAGTAGGCAGAGAGGCAGGCAGGGAGAGGGGCAGGGGAAGCAGGCTCCCTGTTGAGAGAGAGACCCATGCGGGGCTTGATCCTAGAACCCTGAGACCGTGACCCGAGCCTAAGGCAGAGGCTTAACCTACTGAGCCACCCAGGCGCCCCAGGAAGGTTTCATAAGGAAAAATGCCATTAGAAAGATTAATCGTGGTGGACATTGGATGTGAAACCAAAAACTTTGACGGTCTCTTATTGTGTGTGGTTGGTGAGAAGCCATTGAAGCTGCCATGTCTGGTGACCGTGTGTAAGGTAAATTGAAAATTATAGGCTCCCCACCCCTGAGCCCAATTTTCTCTTCATTTTCTTTGTCCTTTGCTTTAATGAAGGAGTATGGATTATATTTCAAATTTCAAATTAAAGTTTTTAAAGCCTATAGTTCATGACTCAACACAAGCGTCTCCATGAAACCCAGAGTATTAAAGAAACAGCACATATAGGCCTGAATTATTCATAGGTAACTGAAGTGTTTGGGCTTTGATGGAGTCAGACTAGCTTGAATTCTGGTTTTGCCACCCACTGTGTAACATTGAACAAATCCTTTAACTTAGGGAACTCACTATTCTCATCTGGAAAGGGAAGCTAATTCTGTCATCCTCCCAGGTTTGTGAGCATTAGATGAGAGAAAGCTTGGAAAGCTCTTAGCACACTGCCTGGCAAATAGCAGGCAATTCTGATGAATACCTTTGCCACCATTAGTTGTTGTTATTAATCATTATCATGTACAAATTACTGTGAATTATATTGTTTCCAGGAACACGATATTCTGAATTTTGATCTTACACTGTAGAAACACTCTTGCCTTCTGGTCCAGAAAGAATCACTGTCCTGTCCCACCCAAGTTTCAGGGCCTAATGGTGGTCTTTTGATTTTCTTTTTGTTTTTTATAAGTGTCCTGCCTTGTCAGTGAGGGGATGCCAAAAAAAAAACAAAAAACAAACAAAAAAAAAAACACAACAAAAACAAAAAAAAACACAGGAGGGCTGGGTGCCATAGAGGAGATACCATCCACTGCCAGTTGTAGGGGAGTATGTATGATAGGCTTTGGATTTTTAAAGCTCATGCAGTATTAGGTTTTTGTTTTATGTTTCAGGTAGGTTTTGTTACTACTGCTCTTTAAACTGTGGTGTTCATTGTCCAAAAATTTAGACTTATCTTTACTTTTCTCAGGTTTAAGCCGTTTTTTCCATTCCAAACTTCGCAAGGATTTGAAGAAGATGAAGAAGAGCAAATCCATATACAACAATGGGCACTTACTGAAGGCCGCCTTAAAGTTACATTGTTAGAATGTAGCAGGTATGTTCTTTGTTTCCTCATTGCTACATTATGGGGGAAAAGTGCAGTGAAAATATATTTAAGTATGTTTGTGTTTGTTCCCCCTTTGTGTTAATTTATTACATATGATCTGTAAATCTTTAATCACAGATTTCATAAAATTTGTCCTTTCCAGGACAAGTATAAAATATAAACCATATTTTAGAAAGCATTCTAATGGAGAGGATCGTTTGTTCCTCAGTAATTTCCAAACTTGTTAGATGCTTTATGTTCTTTTGGCATATTTCTAATTTACTAACCATTGGAGAGCTGTTTATAGTATAATATTTTTGAGACTTGTATGTGATAATTGGAAATACCAATTAGAAATATTTAGAAACTTCTGTGATTCTTAAAATTTTAGAGCTGAAAGGGATCTCAGAAATAATCTTGCCCAGCCTACTTATTTTACTTTGCCTGCCCTATAGCCTAAACAGTGTTCATTATCTTGCTTAAACTACTTACTGCACTAGCCTCCTTACTTTTCAAATACTAGTTAACAATATAATCACCAGAACTAACTTTTTAAAATGCAAACCTTCTTGTCACTTTCCTGTTTACTTTAATGGCTTCCCTGTTACTAGAATATAGACCCAAATCCTTGCTGTTGCCTGCATGCAACTCTTGCCTCTCTGGCTTCTTTGTCCTCTCAACCCCTCACTCAGAGTGCCTCAGCGACATGAGCTTTCCGAAAGGAAGATGTTGGCAAACTTTCTCTCTCAAGGGCCAGAGATAGTAAATATTTTAGGCTTTATGATTCACACAGTCTCTGTTGCTCGGCCATATAGTATAAAAGCAGTCATAGACAGTACATGGTATGGCTGTGTACCCATAAAACTGTACATAGGAATTTCATAATTTTTGTGTGTCATAAAATATTCTTTAAATTTTTTTCAATCATTTAAAAATGTAAAAATCTTTGGTAGTTTATAGGCTATGCAAGAACAAGCAGGGGGCTGGATGTGGCCCGTGGACCAGAGTTCACTATTCCCTGCCTTAGATATTTTACCATACTAAGCTTCTTGTCTTGACTCCCCACTGTTTTCCAGGCTGCAGGTCCTACCCCATTTTCTGCTCCTTGAAACCAGACTTCCTTGATCCACTTCAGTAGCTGCCTCTTTAATGCGTCTCCTGATTATTTCAAGTATACTGTCCTTGTGCTACATTTCTATGACTCTTGCTTGTACCACTTATTTGGTTCTTATCACTTCTATTTTTATTTCCAGCCCATAATAAAAACAAGTGCCTGGGTACACAGTTATATGTTGTACCTAATATATTTGTGTCCTTGCTAATAGGTTAATTTTAAGCATACTAATAGTGTGCTAAAGATTTTTTTGTTTTGTCTTGTAGTGATTCAGTATTGTACATCATCATGTCAGAAAGACTGAAAAGGAATTCTTTTGGCAAAGAAAGATTAAATATGCTGTAGATTTTGTAAAAGGGACTGTAGTGTACAGTAAAATGACATATATAGTAAAAACACAGCTCTACACAAGTCTGAATTTGAATTGGCTAAAGCTAATATGGTATGTAAGCATGAGTATTAAATATCTAATTATAATTAGGGTTTGTCATATTAACATTAGGAAGGACATTTTTCAAGTGATCTGTGTCTAAGGAATTTTGACCTCAAGTTTCTTTTTTTCTTCCGTTAATTTTCTTGTAGATTCACAATCATACCATTGGATTATCTTTTCCAAAATAGTCATAGCAACTTTTAAATATTAGAAGGGCAATTTGGACAAAATTTCTTAACTCTCCTGTATCTACCTAGTCATCTACCCTTTCCCAAACCTTCAAAGATAGCCTTGAAGGAGATTTATTATTCATTTATTCAGCATACATTTATTTACTATGATGTAGATGATGTGTAATAAAGAGGTAATGTGCTAGGAATTTTTATTTATTTCTATTTATTTAATTTTTAAAGATTTTATTCATTTGAGAGAGAGAGAGAGCACAAGCAGGGGGAGAGGCAGAGGGAGGAGAAGCAGACTCCTTGCTAAGGTGGGAGCCTGACATGGGGCTCGATCCCAGGACCCGGAGATCATGACCTGAGCTGAAGGCAGACACTTAACCATCTGAACCACCCAGGTGCCCCCCCTCTGCTTTTTTTTTTTTTTTTTAAGATTTTATTTATTCATTTGAGAGTGTGCTAGGGATTTTTTTTATAAATATTTTTTTATTATTATTATTTATTTGACAGAGAGAGAGAGATCACAAGTAGGCAGCGAGGCAGGCAGAGAGAGAGAGGGGAGGAAGCAGGCTCCCTGCAGAGCAGAGAGCCCGATGCAGGGCTTGATCCCATGACCCTGGGATCATGACCTGAGCCGAAGGCAGAGGCTTTAACCCACTGAGCCACCCAGGCGCCCCTGTGCTAGGGATTTTTAAAAACTAGTTCTTTTGCCTTAATGTTGCTGGTAAGGTTATAGATTGATTATATGTCTGTTGGTTGTGGCTATTTAACTATAGCTATTGTTGTCACCTTTGTTTACCATTCTTTTGCTTTATCTGAGATATTGCTTGCTTAAAGCTTTGCTATCAGCCTTGAGCCAAAGAGCTCATGAAGGCACTGAGCAAGTGTAGTCAGGCATTATTTAGGTCGTGTTGGATTGAGATAGATGGTACAAAGAAAAGCATGACGGTGTGTGTTTGTATCTTACTTTGTTTTAATGAAGAACTGTGTAATGAGTCTCTGAAAGAACACACGAGAAACCAGTAAAAATTCTTACAGGGTGTAGGAGAGGGAACTGGATTGATGATGGACTGGGGGTGAAGGTGAGAGTCAAACTTTTCACTATAAACTTCTGTCTTGTTTGATTTTTGCTACTGTATCACTGGTCAAAAGATTAAAAAGTAATGACCACTATTTCTAGGGATTTGATACAGAAAGCATGGACAGTAGTTCTTAAGTCTCTCACATTTCTCAAAGTTGAAGGGGAAAGCAGGTACGATATTCTGTTCGTAAGTTCCTCTTGTAAACTTGGGTTTTATTGCCATCACCTTCCCCCCAAGTGACAGCTTAATCTTGGGAGGAAGCAGACTACCTAAGTTTTCCAGTAACTATTCTTGTAAACCCAGCCATGTAAAGTTACCTAGTATTGTCGTGCTTTGTTACTGTCACACAATTTAAGGATTACTTAAAATTGCTTATGAAGGAAAGAATAAATTACTGTTTTCTACTCATCTCTGCCCTTTTTGTCTTCGAATTGAATTCTAAACATTCTTTTCATATTCTTCTCATTAAAATCTTACTTACAGAAGCGCCTGGGTGGCTCAGTCAGTTGGGCATCTGCCTTCAGCTCAGGTCATGATCCCAGGGTCCTGGAATCAAGCCCCACACTGGGCTCCCTGCTCTGTGGGGAGCCTGCTTCTCCCTCTCCCTCTGCCTGCCACTCCCCCTGTGCTCTCTTTCTCTGTCAAATAAATCAATAAAGTCTTTTAAAAAATAAACAAATAAAAGAACAGATTGACTTACCACACCTTAAAAAAAAATCATATTTACATTGTTTTTCTTCTAAACTTTGTTCTTAATATAAAAAGTAGAACTCTCAGGACAGATAGAGTCCAAATTTCTATTATTTAAACTAAAAAGGACATGTTATTATAATCTAAGCATTTATATTTAAGTAATTTTTCCTGCTCCTGAATGTACTGATCTTGTGTGATATATTGTAAACTAAAGCAGAAGGAAAGTGACACTGTAAGGAAAGTGGAAGAAAAAATAAGTGCCCTCTTTTCGGAGTGAGGACAAAAAAAAAGAGCTTATCATTTCAGTTTTGGAAACTTAAAGGTTTAAGACTCTTGAGATATTTGTTACCATGACTACTTCATTTAGTGATACGAAAAGGTTTGCGGCAAATAGAATAAAATTATTGAATGATCAAATTTTTAAGAGAACATAAACATTTTTTTAAAGATTTATTTATGGGGCGCCTGGGTGGCTCAGTGGGTTAAGCCTCTGCCTTCGGCTCAGGTCATGATCTCAGGTCCTGAGATCAAGCCCCGCATCAGGCTCTGTTCAGCAGGGAGCCTGCTTCCCCCTCTCTCCACCGGCTGCTCTGCCTACTTGTGATCTCTCTCTCTGTCAAATAAATAAGTAAAATCTTTAAAATAAATAAATGAATAAAATAAAGATTTATTTATATTTTAGAGAAGGGAGAGCATGTGCTTAGGGGAGGGACAGAGGGAGAGAATCTTCAAGCGGACTCCGAGTAAAGTACAAAGCTCAGTCTTGGGGTTTGATTCCATGACCCATGAGATCGTGACCTGATGTTCAACCCACTGAGCCACCTAGGTGCCCCAAGAACATAAACATTTAAAGCTAAAAAATTTCTGTGGACCATATGTATGTGGATAAATTTATTTTGAATTAGCATGCTGTCATGAGAAAAGTTTCCTGGGTTTTTAGCATTTAGACATACATACTCACATTTCTCCAGGTGAAAAGAGACCTACATGTTCAAGTTATTATAACAGCATATGTATCATTTAGCATTGTTAATAGTTTTAGGTTAACTTTCTTAGAAATGCTTATTTCTTAGTCATGTAGAACTTGACCTTGAATTGGTAAAAATAATGGAAATTTAGTAATTTTTTTCCCAAATCCATAAAACAGAACATCAAACTCATTATCCCCAGACAACCATAGTTCTCTGTGAGGATTTCTTTTTCTTTCTTAAGCTTTTTAATTTGAAGTAATGACTGTGTTTGAGGACTTTTTTTTTTTTTTAACTTTATTTTAGTATAGTTTCATACTTAGAGTCTGCCTGAAGATTTTTGTCAAACTTACCTGTTGTAAGGCTTTAAAATGCATTTTGCCAATGAGGAAACAAATCAGAAGTATCCAAGAAAATACTGAAGTTATGGAAATAATGAAGTGGAAATAATACTGGCATTTGAGTTAGAAAGTGCTGTGTTCATATCCTAGCCATGTGCCATGTGTATGTCCTTAGACAAGTTGTGCATCTCTAGAATAG